TACTGCAAAAGGATACCTACAGAAGAAGGTGAGGTTTCACCATGGTAAGGTAGATATTTACTGCAAAAGGATACCTACAGAAGAAGGTGAGGTTTGACCATGGTAAGGTAGATATTTACTGCATGGCCAAAAAATGCACCCAAGACCTTTGTCAGTTCAGGAGCATACTACGCCTTGCTTGTCCCAACGGCCTGTGACGAAAGCGTGTTGCACAAAGAATACCGCCATGGAAGCGCGAGCTGTTCATACGGAGAAGAAGGCTCAAGATGAAATTGATGATCGTGACGATCTCATGCCCAGAAAGTGCACATGCCCACTTTTTTTAGTCAGTGACGAGCAGAGAAGCACACAATGCTGCAACTACTACATTCAAACCAACGACTAAGAATCAATCTCCTTGTCACCGCCGGGCCGGGCCGGGCCCAGTTGGTACACACATGAACTGTTGCAACGCAGACCCAAATTCGAATACAGTACCCTACTACCCATGCAGTATTTCGAACTATTTTCGCCCATTGAATCTTCTTCAACCATTATAGAATGTAAATCTTTTTTCCTTAAAACAAAAGAAGAAAACAAAACAAAAAAATCACCCCCTGCAGTGCAGGTGGTGCTGAATGTGAACCGCTTCGAAAGGTTTCTGAATCCGTCTGCACTTTCAGCAGTACCCATGCATGCATGCATCATATCATGCCAGATCTGAGCTAGCTACGAGCAGTGCCGGTCCCGGTACTTCTTGGTTTCATTAATATAGCCAAGGACTGGTGGTTTAGGTGTTTTTGACACCATAGATGCCCGGCAAACCGGGCAAAGTCAAATTTTTTATTTCTTTTTGGTTTGTCCACATAGCTTCTGATGGACTAGTGGTGTTTCAGTGTTTTCGACACTATAGATGCCGGGCAAAATGCATTTTTGGGTTCATCAATATAGCTTCAGATGGAGTGGTGGTGTTCAGTGTTTTTGACACCATAGATTCCCACATGCCGCCCTTACATTGCCCTCACAGAGGTCACTCATCATCAGGTCCAAGCATAGCAGCTGCCTGAACCCAGGTGTTTTTTTTTTTTTTTTTTTTTTTTTTTTTTAATTAAAGAACGGGCCCAGTGCCCAAGTCTGATATTACCAATGAAAACTGCTTGAGGCCTGGGTCCTCACAGTCTACCCGGAGTGGACGAAACGAATTTGCTGAGAACCGGGCTCAGCGGCCCTCATATGTTTGGTGAAAATGATCATGATGGTAATGCTAATAGGTTACATCATTCCAATACACGTTCTTGATTTTTTATGCCACTATATATCCAAATGCTTAAAGCGTGCATCGGCGCATCTCAGTGTCTTCTACGACATCACTGGGATACACATGAGCTTATAATGGGTTCCTTGGGTCACTGATCATTTTATTGGGCCCAAAAGTACCCATGGAGCTGCCAGTTCTCTTCAGTGCATGTGGTTACACTTGGCTGTTTTAAGTGTCATCCAGTCACAAACAACTCAAGCTGGCAACGGCTGGATGTTTCCGCCGGGCCAGCGGCACGGGTTGCGTGCCCCCCGTGATCACCAAATGAAATTAAATAGGCCGCCGCTTCGATAGCATCAAGAATCGGAAAACAGCAGACGCTCTTCCGAATCATAAGCAAGGGAAGCCAGCCAGACTGGTGAACAAGGGGATATGACAGAACATGATCCGACAGCACAATCTTCAACAGGCAAATGCACAGGAGCGTACACAGACGTCAACACGAGCCCAACGCTCCTGGCAAAGTGACTACAAGTTCAGCATTTTCCTATCACATCTCTCTCTCTCTCTCTCTCTCTCTCTCTCTCTCTCTCTCTCTCTCTCTCTCTCTCTCTCTCTCTCCCACCCCCCCCCCCCCCCCCCCCCCCCCCCCCCCCCCCCCCCCCCCCCCCCCCCCCCCCCCCCCCCCCCGGGTCTCTCTTGCATGCAACTAGAAAAGATACAAAAAGAATCACCCCCCTGACACATACACATACACTTAAATATGGACACAAGAACACAAGGTGATCCATTACCTGCACAACCCCAGAGGATGGCTCCTTTATTCATCATCTTCCGTAGAGCTACAGTCCATTTCCCCCCTGTCCCTCCATGCCACACTCCTCTCCCGCATCCTTTCGACTAGCCAAGGGCATACTACTTCCTGGTTTCCTCCTTCCTGGGGCAAAGGCTTCGGCTACAAACCACTACCGACAGGGAGCAGAGTCTCCACAAGCTCAACCCAGAAGGCAGCCCCTATTGCTAAGCAATCATCATTGAAGTCGTATTTCGGATTATGCAGCATGCAACCACCTTCCGTTGGGCCATTCCCGATCCATAGATAACACCCAGGGACTCTCTGCAAAATATAGCCAAAATCCTCCGCGCCCATGCTAGGCGGCAACTTGTCCATCTCCGCCCTATCGTCCCCGACTATCTTCCTCGCAACCTGGAGGCATAGCCGTGCTTCCCCAGCAGTGTTGATTGTAGCAGGGAAGTGGTCTGCAAACTCCACAGTTGCAGCACACCCAAACGCTGATGCCGTGTTCTGTACAATCTGACAAAACCTGTCCATAAGATATGTGCGCGTCGTCTCCTTAAAGGTTCGCATAGTTCCCTTGAGGGTCACGCAGCCTGGGATCACATTGTTCGCGTCCCCTCCATGGATCTGAGTCACACTCACGACGGCGGAGTCTTGAGGGTCAACCGACCGGCTCACCAAACTCTGCAGAGCTGTCACCGTGTGAGCAGCACACAGCACAGCATCCTGGCCCTGGCCCAGATGAGGCATGCCTGCGTGGCACCCCAGCCCGTTCACCGTGACGTGGAAATTGTCGACGGCCGCCATGACTGGCCCCGAGTGAATAGCGAATCGCCCAACCGGTACACCCGGCCAATTGTGCATGGCGAAGGCTGCTCGTACTGGGAATTTTTCAAGCAAGCCTTCGTTCAGCATTGCCAGAGCGCCTCCATTCACGCGTTTACCTTCATTCTCCGTGAGGGTGCCCTCTTCTGCTGGCTGGAACAGTAAGTGGACAGTACCACGGAACTTGCGTGTCTCGGAGAGAAGGCGGGCGGCACCTAGAAGCATGGCTGTGTGCCCATCATGACCACAGGCATGCATCACACCTCGCTGTGTGGACCTATAGGCGAAGTCACTCTCCTCATGGATCGGCAGTGCATCCATATCGGCGCGCAGCATGATTGCCCCGCTGCCGCCGTCCGTAGAATCGCCCACAGTGAGGGTTGCCACCACTCCTGTTCCGCCCAGTCCCCGATGCACCGAGTACCCCCACTGCAGGAGCAAGTCTTCAACAAGGCTTGAAGTGGCTTTCTCAAGAAACGCGAGCTCTGGAAACGAGTGGATCTGGCGTCGCCATCTGACCATATCCCCGTGCCACCGACCAACACGCGCTTGAGATCGCACAATCACTTGCTCAACCTCATCGTCTGACCACACAATGCCTCTGGAAGTCAACTTCAGAGTTCTGGATGAACCGGGACGCGTTTCCGTCGTCTTAGAATTTGGGCTGTCGTCGCCCGGTGGATGTTTCTGATCAACACCTGTGCTTCGTTCCGATGCTCTACACAGCACGCCGTCATCCCGCCCATCTCTCACGCTAGTGCTGAAACGACGAGACCGCCACCGCCGAGCTACGTTCCTACCCCAGCAGTCCTGGAAGCAATACCCACAGAACAGAGGGGACTCCCCACCCTGGGAGTGCCCGTGGACCCTTTTCGATAACCAAACTATAGTAGATGGCTCGATACGTCTTTCGGAGAGGAGCCATGCCCCATCATGTTCCAACTTAGAAAATGGTTTTGAAGTCTTCGCGCCAGCCCAACACCTCACCACCCATCTATCGGAAAGGGCAGCCGGAAAAACGTCCAGGGCTAAAGCACCTATCTTCCCAGTAAAACCAGATGAGGTAAGCGCAAGCGAAGACATGTCGGGGTGATACCTTTCCGGCTTGTCAGATACCACACAGCCTGCGCTTCCCTGATTCCCTTCGCTTCTCAAAGAGCTACTGCTAGAGACTCTGAGATCCAAAGACGCATACACTGCCCTGGACTCTATGGTGCCTGCTGCAGCCATCCTGGCAGCCACTTGATATACTAGGACATACACAGTCAGTGAAACGCTGCAAGTCGCAGTGCAACTCAGCCTGCAAAAGCTGCGTCTTCTTGAGTGAAGACAGGGCACATGCCAACGGCTCCTGCGCATGCAATTGCCATCTGTTTGTGCACCGCCACGTCAACGAAATCACGCATCATCGAACTGGTCCAATCGCTCACACACCTAAGGTAATCAATCCCACAGCGCAACGCCAGGTGCGTGACGGCAGTCATGACCAGGTCTGTACAAAATCCACAAATAGATGGCACAAGGTATCATGATCCTCCTTTCCCAACACAAAAGAGAATGATGAAAATGATTGACAGTCACCGGAGACTGGTAAAGCCCATCACCACCACACCTTGCAACCAACCAATACTCCGATCCATTACGTCTGCAACTGCAACTGCAACTGCTACACAGTGTTCGTTGCACCTGAACCATACAAATGCGCCTCTCCGAGGAATCATGCACGAGGGAGGGAGAAGATGTGCACTTCTGGGAAGAACACTAAAATGCACAAAGCGGCCTACGCTATCAGCAGGTGCAGAAAGAAGTCTGCGCTACCAATCCATAAATCTTCGCTCAGCACTCTCCACTGGAAAACATTCGATGTTCCACCTTCCTGTGTCAAAAAGAATCCCTGTCACAATCCTTCCATTTCACCGCGCTTTAAAGAGAGATGGTTGAAGATGTGTCCTCGCCTCTTCTAGGCAATAGAGAAGCCTAGACGGTCCACACCACAAAAAATATAGCATACACATGTCTTGAGAGGGAGAAAGGATCCTACCACAACACTACAACAAGAACAACATAGAGAAACATAGACAAACAAACACAACAAGTGCCATGATGATCGTAAGGCTAATGGCAGGGGGTCTCTTCCAAAACAACGACACAACCAGACGTGACACGACCCATAACTTCAACCCATAATACAAACAACCCATACCATCAGCTACCAAATTTCAATTTCAGGTTCACGTGTTACATAGCTCTCCTACTTCAATCTCTGGTAAGCGGCGATTCATCATGGCAGGGTTAGTGTGAGCAAGTATAGTCAGATGAGGGTGGGGGCCCACAATCAGTACTAACCGAAGTATGCAGGACGACAGCTGACTGCGTGAGTGAGAGCATATCAGCATGGCAGGGTTAGTGTGAACTAGTCAGATGAGCATAGCTGCTATTCATCATGGCAGGGTTAGTGTGAACAAGTGAAGTCAAACGAGGTTGGGGGGGGCACAATCAGTACTAACCGAAGCACGCAGGACGACAGCTGCGTGAGTGAGAGCACACACAACACACAGTCACCTACTTACTACACGACGTTCATTTTCCCGAAAACGCACATTTCTGGAACGCTGACACCGTCAGACCGGAGCCCGATTGGTATGACCTCAATTCCAAACCGATCCTACGCAACATGAGCCTCTGCAGACATGACAGCAATTGGGACACAGCCATCTATCTACAAAGTAAGTTTGTACGAACCCACGTTGACTTGAGTCTCCGCGAACATAACAGCAATTGGGGCACAGCCATCTACCAAGTGGGTTGGTACGAACCCTTATTTACTTCCGTTAACCGTAGTTATCTTATCCATGAGCATAGGGGGCTGCTGACGTATCCCGGGGCATATACCTAGGGGGATGCACTGGTATATCACCTCAAGCCCATCCCGCACAAGACGAGGCTGTGCCAACATGACCGCAAGTGGAGCACATCCATCTACTAACCATGGTTAGGTTCTCCATAAACTCTCAGGATGAAGACTGACATCATTGCAGGGAATGCCTGTCTACGACCTGCAGCAATCACACGACAAGCTGCAGCGCCAACCTGCTAAGGGCATACGCACACTAGGGGGCCCTCACAATGGCAAAATCGCAAAACGAGTACTGGCCAGATTGAGTTCTTGTAAACGAAGGGCTTGATCTGGCCGCTCATTTTGCAATTTTGTGATTTTGAAGGCCCCCTAGTGTGAGGGCATACTCACACTAGGGGGGGCTCAAAAGGGCGCAAAATGGCAAAATGAGTAGCCGCCAGATTGAGTTCCTGTAAACAAAGGACTCAATCTGGCCGCTCATTTTGCAACTATGTGATTTTGAGGGCCCCGTAGTGTGAGTACACTCTAACCATACTTAACTTCTTTTCCATACAGTCGCCGAAGGATTGTGCTGCTATCAGCTCTCTCTCAAGCCCATCCTCCACAAAATGAGCCTCCGCAAACATGACCACAACCAGAGCACATCCGTCTATCTACTAACCATGGTTACTTTCTCCATCAGCTCCCCGAAAAACGAAAAAAAAAAAAAGGACTCGTTGTTGTAGGGATGGATTTTTATATTCGCAACCTGCAGCAATCAGACTCACAAGCTGCAGCACCAACCTACTAACCATAGTCATTTTTTTCTCCATAAACACGACTCTCAGAACGAGAGCTCTAACCCCATAGGTAATAGTACCTTCTTCCCCCGTACGTTGTATTCGGGGGAAGAAGCTAATCAACAACCTGCAGTGAACGGACATGAGATTCGAACCCGGAACTTTGTTAGTACTGTGGTTTCGCAGTTTTGTCGTTGAGTTTCTTTAAGAAGAAGAAGAAGAAAAGGTTTCGAACTCGTTGGATGGTTATCTTCCCATCATTGCTTTACTGTTTCGTTGTCGGTATGTAATAAGTATACGACAGGGCGAGGCTTGGCGAGGCTTCGAACCTAGAAATGGAACTTCCAGATGAGGTAAGCGCAAGCGCAAGCGAACACATGCACATGCCGAGGTGATACCTTTCCGACTTGTCAAGTCGGATACCGACTGTAGGAGTACTACGGTAGTAGTAGGGTCCCGAACCGGACCGTAAGTACCCCGGATTAACCAATAGGTATAGGGGGTGCGGATATGTGCGGGATTTAGGAAGGGGTATATAGTATATACTAAAAGCGAAGAAAAGCAGACCTTGCTGGGGTCCATGCTGGGGTCCATTAAGAAGATTTAGGGCAGATTAACAAAAGAGACATCAAACTAGTAATTTTCTGGACGTAATTGCGGTCACATACAAGCCGGTCTCGCCGTAAAAGCGAGTCACAGATACGTCCAGAAAAATATTTTTGAGTATGCTCTTAGAATAGGTTCAGGTATGGTATTCGGGAATGACCACATAAGCCGAGACTGATGGAGTGAAGCTTCATTACTGGGGAGAGCAAACTAATATACTCCTTAACACTCTTGACTTGCTGAGTAATAGTTGGATCTTGTCGTATTCGGGAATAGAGCTTGTCATCATCTCGCACCGGGTTTTTGGTATCATCCGACGCGTGTGTGTGTGTGTGTCTGTGTGCGTGTGTGTGTGTGTGTGTGTGTGTGTGTGTGTGTGTGTGTGTTTGTGTGTGTGTGTGTGTGTGTGTGTGTTATCATCCGGCCATGATTTTTATTTTTTCTGCATGTCGAGAGCAGTGCAGCGAGGCCCTATGCCCCGTGTGTGTGTGTGTGTGTGTTATCATTCGGCCATGATTTTTGTCTTTTATGCATGTCGAGAGTAGTGCAGCGAGGCCCTATGCCGTGTGTGTGTGTGTGTGTGTGTGTGTGTGTGTGTGTGTGTGTGTGTGTGTGTGTGTGTGTGTGTGTGTGTGTGTTTCCATCCGAAGGACCACGGATCAGATATTAAACTGATCAGAACAGATACAGTGCACTTG